TAAACTTGAGACGTTGCCGACTGAGAAAATACGTGTGGAAATACGTCCCGGTAAACAGTAACTTGTACGTACCTGGAAAACGAGGTTCCAGCACGACAAGCTCCAAGTCATAATCGAATTTAAGCTTTTAATAGCCCAAAACTGCCTCCATGATGTTGACAGAATCCAAGCGATATCTTCTTTCACTAACCACGAAGGAAAATCCACTTTTTGTACCCATTGTACCCATTTAATCTCCCACGCTGTCATAAACGGTGACAACCTCGTAGAGTAAGACTTCACATGTCGTTTGCACAGACAATTATCCGGCGTTGCTCTCTGAAAATTGTCTTCATGGTTCAAAATTCCAAAATTTAGTTTCTTACCGCCAACGCGGCCATGCGTTAGTCGATTGGTACCCATTCCTTTCGTGCACCACTTGTTTTAACGCCTGACTGAAAATAACGCGGGAACTACTTTGGGTGAGTTGTGGGTAAAACGAATCATCCTGTTGACGCTTAGTAAGTCTGTTAAGCCAAAGTTCAAGTAATGAATCTTTTAAACTCGCCTGCAATGTGTAGTCTCCTTTATTTTTATCTAATTTCTTTTCTTCTGTGCGTCTTTGTACCTGATCGGTAATAGTTCAAAACTCGAAAATCAGCCACAACTTAAATATTCACCTAAATCGTAATTATTGGACATGAGCAACTGGGAAAAAAAATAGAGAAACTTTCTTTTGAAAAAAATTTTTTGGAAAAGGCGAAAGGCCCTTTATAGCTCTTTATCATCGCCCTCCCCTCCCTTCCCACCCCACGGAGTGCTAGTCCTTTCCTCTGATTGGATAAAATAGAAAAAAATTGGGAACGTAAGTGTCTCATAGCTACACGAATAATGACATACGAAAACACTCACAATAAGACTTAGTTGCTTCGTTTCCCTTGAGGTCTATAGGTCTGTCACACAGTAAAAAGTTTGGCATACATACATGCAAAAATAACTCCTTTCCTATCTCTTTTATAATATCAAGGCAACAAAAACAGCAAAATTTACTGGGTTTTGAATGAAACAAAAAACACCTGCTGGCTCCACCTACCACATCCGCTAAATGAAAACGTAACAAGGTTTAATTTTAAAAAAATTCTGATCAAGCGATAGCGATCTACGGGGAGGTTTTTAAAACAGTTTGCGCGACTTTTGGGATTGAGAAATTTCAAGAAAAACAGCAGAAAGCCATGGATATGTTTTTAAAGGAAATGATGTCTCCGTATCGTTATCAACAAGCCGTGGAAATTTTAAATATATCAAGCCGCGAAAGTGATCAATCGCCTCTCTTCTCTTGCAGAGAGGCGTTCACTGTATTTATTGTGCCGCCGGTTAACCTCTCAATGGTTTTGGGCCAATGGACTTGGCCTCCTTCAACTTTCGGTCTCTTTGCGAACGGTGCAGCGAAGCTATTAAATTATAACTATCTGTTCCTTGCAGCGATCCTTTCGACTTAGAAACGAGTCGCTCTTTCATCACATTTGCTTAAAGAAATCTGTAAAAAACCTTGAGGTTCTGCAGCAAATGATCCAAATTTTTAGACGACCGTGGTACTGTCTACAAATGCATGCAGAAGCCGCGTACACATTGAAATCTAGTTTCGTTAGCGCGGCTAATCGAACATCGTCCTCTTCTTGTTCTATACCAAAAATCGCCTACTATATCCATAAAGCAGAGTACATCTTTGAACGCGGACACTAAATTGCAAATTTACCTGAAAAAAATGAGAATGAATTCACTTTAATGCTGTTGTTTACTTCGATTACCTTTCACGCTCAGACGAGCCACTTCGCAAAAAATACTCTTAAGTTTCATAACTTTGCATAGATTAGTGTGAAGTCATATGAAACGATTCCTGTCAGATTTCGTAGACGTTTCCTCCCTTTCGTTATCCCTTGTGGGGGACGGTACGGCTACATGTAGACTACCAACAAAATTCATGTTCGTTCAACTTCTTCGCTCTTCTTCTTCGCATGTGAGTTAAATCTCTAGATTAAGGTTCCCGTTTTATCCTTTTCTTTGAAGCTAACGTCACTAGGATAAAAAAAAACAAAGAAACAAACAAAAACAAAAAAACGTTGATAGCCCAACGCATGAGCTTTGGGACTACGGCCTCGTTTTAGAATAGCAATGGGTTATATGGAAATCTTTGGAACGAATTGAAGAAAGTTGTTCGAAAATCTTGAGCCACTTTGTCATTGATAAGACAGCGTTTTCAAGAAAATATAAAAAAAAAAAGCTTTGTGTGTGGCAATAGAGGAACTATTCGCCAAGCATGATGCCGGGCTCGTTTACATGTCGTTGGATCATAAGCAAAACCCATGACAGCCACCGTGCGTCAATGATCCTATTTCAAAGATGTTCTTGATCAACCGAGACACAATACATGCGCGCCGAACACATCAAAACTCCTTAAAAGATACATGCAAAAAGTCTCTTAAAATGAAAACCTGACTGGATTCAAAAGATATAAACTATAACATAAAGATTCTCTCGCTATCTCGACCCTTGATACGTGTTTCTTTCTCGTCAGTTTCTTTCGAGTCCTTTCTTTCCAGTTACCCCTGGAACCGAATGATAAACCTTTAGAAGATACCATTACTTTTATAATCTGTCAAATATTGCATCTGCTGATATCTTGACCAAACAAGGAAAATTTATTTGCTTAGGTAATCGTCTTGAACTACCGGTTTTCAGGCAGTGTACGTGCCTTTTTATGGGTTCCGTGTTCTTTCCTAATGAGATAATTGACCTTGGCATTTTGAGAGTTGAAGTGCAAGTCCTTTTCCTTTCTCAGTGGCGCTGACAGATGCTGATTTCTTGCGCATTTGGTATTTTCAGAATATCACTTACAGCTGACCAGGAAATCAAGTCTTTGATCAGCTCTAAAAACAATTAGGGCTGATACACGAAGGAAATCTTTCTTTTTTTTCTTTGAGTCAATTGGTAGCATTGGAAATCATCTACCCTTAGCCACGATGCACGCAACAAGATGTGGGAACACAAGCGGCCCAAACTCCAGCTGTGAGATGCTCATCTTGCCAAATAACAGTCATGGCAGAATTATAAGGGTTGCATGGGAATATTTCCGACCGCTCTAAGAAATAAAAAATGCGTCAAATTTTCTATAAAATACCTCACCTTACTATCACAGTGTATAGCTCGTTATCTGACCGCTTACTACGTTGAAGGGAACCCATTTTAACGAGTTATCCATTTCGAGGTTTTCTACGTACACAAGAAAAGCCCAGTATACCTATTGAATCACTCAATACGAACCCAGATTTGAACGTCCTCCTTAAGAGAGCTTTTCCTATGTACACAGAAAACCTAGAACTGTATAACTCGTTAAAATGGGTTCCCTTCAACAAGCGAACACAGTAGCAGATTTCCGCTTCAAGTGTACGGCTTGGCATCTGACAGCACGCACACCGGAATTCCGTTGTTTACGAACTAAAAGCAAATTTGACAGTGGATTAGTTGAAAAAGAAACTAAATAATACAGTTATGCTGAAGAAATGACTGGTCACACTTCTCGTCTTTAAGCAACTAAATTTTCCTCTTCGTCCATCAGTCTTCCATAATCGGTCAGCTTATTTCCGAACCTAGTGTTTTTGAGAACCTGAGAATTTTGCGAATACGTCTATAAGTAGATTAAGATGTCCAGCAGTACTTAATGAATGGAAAATTTCCCCCTGAAAAGAAGCATTTTTTTCCAATAACATAAAAAATGAAAAGAAAAATAGGAAGTCATTCAAAACTGAAGCCTAGACTATTTATCCATTGCTTAATAGATAAAGAGATTTTTCACCAGGGAGGTGAACAAAATACTATAGGAAAGAGCAAGTAACCATTAGCAAGAGCGACATCATGCAAGGAACGATATGTAATGACATTTGGCAAAAGTGTGTTTATTAAACCAGAAACAGCGCAAGAGAAGGAGAGAGGGCAAGAAAGAAGAAGAGAAAGAGGAGAGGGGAGTCCATATTATTGCGTAACTGACCACACTCGCTGGTTTGTTCTTACAAAAACATGCGACTATGCGCTAATAAGGATTGACGTGCCATATAACAAAAGGTGATCATCCTTCATATACAATGCGAGCAATATTCCCCAAAAAGGGAATGTTTTCCCCAATAAGACCCACAAAATTTGAAGTTCTTTCTTTAATCTATGCGAGAATGAAAAGGACATTCCTTCACAATTTACATGAATTTTCCTGCGTCTTTAACTGGCTGTTTTAAAAAAGGCTAAGAACTTTTTTAGTTGGAGTCACATAATTGGTCAGGCATGGAAAATCACAAATTTTAGTCTGAAAACTTCTGCTATAGATTCCAGGATTTTGTTCCTGACCCATGAAAAAAATACTTAATTAAAATACTATTTAACTACGTTTCGCAGATAAATTGGGCAATTTTGTTCTTAAGCATACATTTTAAGGATGAAAACGTGCCTGGCCGAATTGTCGTATATATGACAAGAATGACGTAAAATCCCTAAAAAGAGGTCCAGCAGTGACTTTGCATAATCGCGACCTTTCATCCGAGCAATTAAATACTTTAAAAAATTGAACCAGCTTATTCCTCAAATATCACATCCGTTATCCAAATACCTGTACATGAACCTGCCAAACTGCGTGCAAAATACATCGACTACAACTGAAAAGAGAGCCAGAAACAAGACCAATAATGGAGTTTCCCCACAGTTCTCAAAACATAAAGTACATTACTTTTTTAAGTAAAATAGACAATGATCCACTGAGGTGGAACAGTAACCTTGCATGATCAGAACTTTTTAGTTTAAAATTACGAAAGCACGATAGAACAAATACGATAGAACATACGTAGCAACGAGGAAAAACAACATCAAAAGACAATTACACCAGAATTCCGAGAGGATCGAGTGACAGGTAAGCTCGTTTGATACCAATTCCGCTTAGGGCAAAGGTACAAATTGCTCGAAAGATCACGTACACAGGAAGCTGATATGATAAACGAATAATACTGTATAAAAGGAGCCATGATTTCTGTACTCATCATTCAAGTCTACTGGCAGCTTGAAGAGAACCAGCGAATAACTTGGAAAAGAACTATTCTTCAAGGCTCGAAATGGTGAGAGAATCTTATCGTAAAATAATGTTTTTTGTATAATATAGTATACTCGTATAAACTTTTCCATGTAGAGGATTCAACACGCTCCACGCTTAGGCATGTGAGTACCTACTAAGGCCAGTTTTTAAGGTGGCCCATCGACCTCTCTAATTTACGGTGGTTATCGCTAGTTATGCTCAGAATCTAACGACCAGTTCAACCTGTCTAGTTAAGTTGTTTAGCTTGTTGAATAATTGGATGCTTGATATTCTCTTGAGCGAGATCCTTGAGCTTTCTTTTCCCTTAAACAAATAACCACAGTTACGGCGATTTATGACGAAGCGAACCCAGACACAAGAAAAAAAAAAAAAGAAATGGCCAGTATTGCAGCAAGAGTTAACTGTGTATGATTCAAACCCATTGGCGACGCTACCAAACAATGAACAAGCTCGCCAAAGAGAGTCTCTGTACTCCAGTGATAGAGCATCGAGGCGTGGAATCCGAAGGTCTGGGGTTTGATTCCTAATGCGAAGTAAGAAGTGTTTCATAGAGAGGATTCCACGCTTAATCGCGTCCAATAAAACCGACACCCCACCAAAATGTTCATCTCCATCAGTATGTCAAGAGAACAATTGGCATTCTGCCCGACGAGACATCCGATAATTATTACTGACCGTGATGGTCACATGATGCCTTTCTAACAGTAGGAATGAGTTTGCGATGTATCAACAAATAATGTTGTATTGTTTGTAGATTGCAGATTGGAAAGCTTTGTGTTTCATCGCGATTTTCTTCACTGGTCAAAGCGTGAACTCACAGGCCTCAGGTATTTAAAGCAGTTTATTTATTTACGACGTCGATTTATTTTGTATAATATATATATTTTGTTTTGATCATCCTTAAATCAGGACTGCAAGTAACTCAGTTGACATACACGTAATAGTCCTTTTTTTTAATTTAAACTTATCCTTTAGTCAAAGGAACTCGAGAGACTCTAAACCAAATCCTGTTCCTTCTGGGATGAAGTAATCCCCAAATTATGGATTAACAGAAATTAATTGAAATTGTACGCCTCTCTCGTTTGTTGACATTATGATTGAGATTTTACCACTTCAAAGAGAGATTGGAAACGTTTCAGCCACGGGGTAACATGAGTCAAAAATACACGTACACACAAACATGTCAACATAAGGTAGTTTAACCGAATCTAACACGTGCTGTCTTAATGTAAATGCTCTGTTTATCGATTCTTTGAGTGACAAACTTGAAAAATACAAGCTTCTTTTTTCAAGATGAGCAAATTACAAATGCCTCGTCGACAACAACAAGATTTTAAAAATAATTTTAAAACCTTTATCATGAGATCTCATTTGGCACATATTTTGTCCACACCCAACCGAAAACCAGGCTATTATTGATTTAAAGTTGGAAGCTTGGTGAAGACTAGGTTTCGTGACCAAATGTAATGAAGATTATCTTTCCCTTAGGTAACTGGCAGAAGGCAAATACTGCTCCAGTGTGTTTTGGCACCAGGGATACTCAGCCTGGATCCTTCTACCTGCCATCTGGCGGCGGACTGGCCGCTATAAAGTTGGTCCACTTGTACGGTTACGTGTCCTGTGACGTTAGACATCCCCAACACTGGTCATTTTGGGGGTGTGGTCAACATAGCAGTTTAAAACAAGAGGTTGATGTGGTCATAACAAAATCGGACGACAAACAGATCATTTTGCCGCCAGCAGAATTCATGAAGTACAACCACCAAGGAGGCAAGTGGGCCAGGGTTCCCGGATATGACTCATTCTCCAAAGAGATCGTGCTAACCCCATTTGGCAAGCCTTATCCAGTAGTTGCTGGTCAGCAGCTTCACCTTTGGTACGGTGAGGATCTGCAAAATTACACTGAGGGCGACAACGGAGGCAGAGTTTGTTGTGATGTTTATGCTCAATTTCAAGTATAGCTTTCGTTTTCGTATTGGCCATATTTTTATTAAGCCAATTTCATTAGATGCAATAATCAATGCGATGATCTAAGAGTGAACTCTCTCCTTCAAAACTGTTGTATTTCCAAGTTTTTTTCTTTCGTTCATTAGGCCGGTGTAGACAAGCTTACAAGTTTTTTCACACAACTAACCTCCTTTGAATTTCGCCGTTAGTTGTTGTTACTGTTTTGATTTTAGAAAAAAAATAGCAAATATTATGTAATGTAATTTCAGGCAGGGATGACGTAGAACAAAACGATAAATTACTGGATGTACGATTGGCCTGTAATTCATGAGCAAAATAAATGGGCATTATAACTCATTTTGTTGTTCTTACTTTTCTTGGTTTCTTGTTGTAAGTAACCACGAGTTTATATAAGTATGGAACACGTAGGTTCCCATCCCTTCGAAACAAGACAAAACACCTCTTTCTTCTTCCTCTCTACCGACCTCAAAATTTGCCATTTTGTTATTCCACCCTTATCACTGTTTTACAAGTTGTTTGTCCAAAATAATTCAGCTGTAATTCAGTTTACTCAATTTACCCAACTAACCTCTTGAATTTACACATCAGAAGAAAGTTAAACGTTTAGTTGAGGGCTAAATTGAGTAAATTTATGAATTTAAGTCAACGAGGATGTGAGATCAGAATATAATGATCTAAGGAGGATTACACAGGCTGCTCAACATTAAATTTGCTGTTCTTAACACTTGGGACATCAACCACAGGACGGTGTCGAATGACATCTGCCATAAGTTAAGGCTGTTCTGAAGATTATAAGACCGAGAACATAAGGTAATCAGAGAATAACTTATTTCTGCAAGGGTTTTCGAAACGTCAGTCACTACTGACACCAGGCCTTCTCAGGACTGATCTAACACAGACTATAACATTCCACAATTTTTTATGTACGTCCTTGCGATTATTTCCCTTCTTTCCAAATTATTCACCTCTGTAAACATTATCACAAAATTGTAAAATATGTCCGTTTTGACAAAAAGATATGGTCTCTTAAACTGGCTTTGACATAAAAGTAGTTAATTAAGGTTAAGATTTTCCGCCAGCCTCTTTGCCAACACACGCAGCTTCTATAGAAAAAAAAGTTTATTAAACTAAGACTAAAAAGAAAAGGAAAGCGTCTTAACTCATCGTCGTTAATATTCCATTTAAGACAATAAACAACTTAAATATTTACCTAATTATGGGACATGTGCAACTGGGAAAAGAAAATAAAGAAACTTTCTTTTGAAAAAAACTTTTTTTTCAGAAAAAAGCGAAAGGTCCTTTAGAGCTCTTTATCATCGTCGCAGGATAACCCTTCCCCTCCCCTCCCCTCCCACCCCACGGAGTGCTAGTCCGTCCCTCTCAGTCAGATAAAATTTTTAAAAAAATGGGAACGTAGGTGTATTCTAGCTACACGAACAATGACTATGAAAACACTCACAGTAAAACTCCATTTTTAAAATTGGTTCATGTTCCTTGAGGTCTTTACGTCTAACATACAGTCAAAAGTTTAACATAAATATATGCAAAAATAACACCTTTCCAATCTCTTTTATAATACCAGATCAACTAAATCAGCAAAATTTTCTGGGTTTTAAATGAAACAAAAAAACCTGCAGGCTTAACGCGCCACCTCCGCCAAATCAAAACATAACAAGGTTGAATTTAAAAAAAAAAATTCTGATCAAGATTTTTTTGTCATCATCTGATTATTAAAAGCCAATATTCAAAAGGACCATCCAAGAAAGACATCGACGGTTTTATATAGCGCCTCTGACAAACAGGGCGTAGACGTCACAGTAAACTGTGCCTCTGCTGTCGCTTTCGGTGGAACCTTTCAGATCATCGCCATACCACAAGCGTAACTGCTGACCAGTCAGTACTGGATAAGACTTATAAAAATTGCAAGAGTACAACCTTGGATGAACTTCATGAGCTGGCTTAGTGGCAAAATGAGCTTGTTATTCGATATTTCTACGACAATAATCTAATCAAGAGCGCCTAGCATTAATTTATTTGATTATTTATCTATCGTAGTTTTCAAATTACTGTAATTTTCTTTTCCTAGGGTATCTACATTACCGTATGTTTTATTTTACTGTAAGCGTGTTCTATAAAGGAAATGTAGAAAAAAAAACATTCCGTAGCATTTGGATTCGTTAAACCGACAGAAAAGGTAAGGAACATTTACGAAAACCTGACACGAATCGTGTCATATGACGTCGCTCTTTTTGCAAGAAAGTATGTCATGACTTTTTATTGGTGAACCCTTTTTGTCGATTCTTTCGTGAATTCTGGTTGGCTAAAGTTGATGGTTTTCTTTCATGCTAACGAACAAGATGGTGAACAGAATGCTTTCATGGTCAACTTTACGGAAAACAGCAATGGCGATCTAAGAAGAGGTTTTAAATAAAATTTGCGCAATTTTTGGGATAGCAAAATTTCAAAAAGAAACGCAGAAAGCCATAGACATGTTTTTTGAAGGTAACGGCGATGTCTCCGTTTCGTTACCAACTGGCTATGGAAAATCTTAAACTGATATATCAAGCCGCGACAGTGATCGATCGCCTCTCCGATCTCCTCTTAAAGAAACCGGTCACTGTATTTATTGTACCGTCCGTTAAAGCTCTTAATGGACTTGGGCCAGGAGGATTGTCCGCCTTCAACTTTCGGTCTCTTTGCGAACGATGCTGCGAAGTTAATACATTACAGCAATTTGTTCCTTTCAGCGATCCTTTCGACTAAGAAATGAGCCGCTCTTTCTTGTAATGTAACTATCTCTTAAAGAAATCTGTAAAAACCTTGAGATTCTGTGGCAAATGATCCACACTTTTTAGACGACCGTAGAACTGTTTACAAATGCACGCAGAAGCGGCGTGGACGTTGAGATCTAGTTTCGTTGATTTCGTAAGCGCGGCTAATCGAACATCCTCATCTTCTCACTCTATACCAAAAATCGCTATTTCCTCAAAACAAAGTGTATCTTTGAACGCGGACACTGAATTGCAAATTTACCTGAAAAAATAGAAAATGAATTCACTTCAATGCTATTGTTTACTTCGATTACCTTTCACGCTCAGACGAGCCACTTCGCAAAAAATACTCTTAAGTTGCATAATTTTGCATAGATTAGAGTGATGTCATTTGACACATTCCTGTCAGATTTCGTAGACGTTTCCTCCCTTCCGTAATCCCTTGTGGGGGACGGTACGGCTACATGAAGGCTACCAACAAAATTCATGTTCGTTCAACCTCTTCGCTCCCATGGCATGTGAGCAAAATCTCTAGACTAAGGTTCCCGTATTATCCTTTTCTTTTAAGCCAACATTACTTGGATAAAAAAAAAACAAAAAAAAAAAACCTTGATAGCCCAACGGATGAGCTTTTGGGATTACGGCCTTGTTACTCGGGCTTCCATAGGAAAGCCCGAGTCTTAAAATGCAGGCCTTCATAGGCCCCAAAAGGGGGTCATAGTCCTAGGCGTTCCTTGCGTAAACCGAGGAAACTGGGGACGAGAGTCCAGCAACTTGAGTTATTATGTGCTCGCTCTTCATAAACAACAAACATTTACGGAATGTTGTATATTATGAAGCCCGTTTTGCAAAGATTCCTGTCTTATGTGCTCATCTCACGTACAAATGCACACGCTGTTCGTGGTAGGCCCACACTAAATGATGTCGAGCGTTTTCGGAATGGGCCGGTCCACGAACTCTCTAGCTTGAAAGCTAGCCAAATGTGCAAAGTTTACACTAGTTCTCACGAGATAACAAATGAGCCATATATGAGTTCAAACCAAAATACTGGCAAAACTGTGACAGCCGATTTAAAAACAAACTATTATGCCGAGATGAACACCTCACTTGCTGAAAAAATCAAGAATGTTGGTGAACACAACTTCGAAGATGGCGCTAACGACACTGAGCGAATTGGATAAGGATACTGACATAAGCAACTTGAATAGTAAGGTTGAATATCTAAGCTTAGCTCTTTCGTTAAATATCCTGTTTCTGTCTTTGGTTTTTATTGGGTTCAATACTTGTAAAGTACGATTTGGTATTTCTTACACAATCACTATTATTATTGTATAAGCGATCGTGAATGTTGGTTTTCTCTCCGCATGGAGTTGTATGTTCTTTGTATAAGAAATGATGAATACTTGTGAATGAAAGTGATCCTCGCAGTCATGTGCACTACTTAGGCAGTAGTGAAAATAAGGCCTGAAAAAATTTCAAGCCTGTACGGGATTTGAACTCATGACCTCTGCGATACCGGTGCAGCGCTCTACCAACTGAGCTAACAAGCCAACTGGGAGCTGGTCATGATGTTGGTTCTAAATAAACCCGTGAAGTGATGAAATAAACGGTTGTGAAAGTCATATATTTGAACTGCGGATAAAGACGTGAATGAAAGTGATCCTCGCAGTCATGTGCACTACTTAGGCAGTTGTGAAAATAAGGCCTGAAAAAATGACTTTCACAACCGTTTATGATGAATACTCTTGATGATTGTGATCTACTAGAAAAAGTTGTCAATATGACTAATGTACATGAACATAGTGATGTTACAGTGTCAATAAAAGTACAACAATTCAGATCTGGTTGTGCAAAGTCTGTACATTATAATCGTACTCATGTTGTGTGAGAATGCCATGGCTATAAAGGTGATCGTGAACCAAGCAGAGTACCAGTGAGGATGTTAAAAACGTGTCTCTAAGAAAATTATAAAACTGCAGAGTTATGTACGGAGCCGTTTAAGCACCATATAGTCAAGGGGATGTTGTTGTATTTGGACAAAATGCTGGGCAACAATGTGTTGAAATGAATTTATGTGCATTAATATACCACAATATGAAACGAAAAGGCAATCCTGATGAATTGAAACAAATAATGCATATTGGAAGTGAACTACATAGCAGTTTGTCACAATTATCAAGACAATCATTTTTACTGTTAGCAGATTTACCATCAATGCTTACAGTGCAAGAGAAAGATTACCAGCTAGAATACAGTGAAAGTTACCTTGGTAATGTCCATGTTGAGCTAACCATTGAGGGATTATCGATATTGTATGGGCCTGAAAAGAGCTTTTGAGTCATTGATATCAGAACAATATAGGTCATATATTTTAACAGTCGGATGTATTGTTGTGGGTATTTGTTACTGTGCTGATAATAGCCATTTTTAAGTGTTAGACTCATGTGCTAGAGATGTTTATGGTAAAAGTCACTCTCGAGGGACGTGTGTTCTATTAGATATATCATCTACAGACAACTTAGTGTATCACTTTCAAAGTTTATATGGAGCAACTGATCTGTAGGA